TCCTTCTTTTCCTTATCTAATTTTTTTATTATCTAATTGTATGAAAATCTGTTCTGATTTTGTTCAATCCTCTAATTGTATTTGTATTATATTCCATAAAATCGATTTAAAAAAAAAATCTCATAACATCCGATAAGTAAAAAAACAAAGTACGTAAAATCTTTACTAAAATAAAAAGGCTTTATTTATTATCTAATTTATTATCTAATTCTATGGAAATCTGTTCTGATTTTATGGTACGTACTACAAATTGTGTACCCGTGTTCAGGAGCTACCTTAACGGACAAGCTCTGTGGAAATGACTCATTTAATGCTTCTGTCCCGTGCATACGGTATGTATTTTTATTACACATACTAGAAAATTGTGCAGCCCGTGCATCGCACGGGCTCTGTACTAATAAATGACCTTAAAATTGTGCACCCCGTGCATCACCCGTGTTCACATTTTGGCCTATTACAGGTCACGTACTATATATATCCCGTACGTTTTTTTTATTCATTTCTATAATTATAAGAATGGATAAATGACCTTAAAATTGTGCATCCCGTGCATCGCACGGGCTCTGTACTAGTTTGAACTAATCACCACTTCCAATTATTTTTCTCATACTTTACATCAAATCAACTTTAATTATTGTATTTAAATATTATTTTAATATATTCACTAACAACTAATCATACCATATTTTTTCAAAACTAACTATAGTTAAAAAACAAACCAAATAAAAACTAGTTAGAATTTATAAACAGTAACTGAAGTTAACTGCGTGTTCTCAAGAGATGCACTGATGCTCCCTTGATTTAAGCACTCATTTTCTTTTTTGGTTTTTAGGTGAAATCAGTAAGAATCGAAATCAATCATAGTTGATTTCATTTGTATTAAACGAATCTAATCAATTAGATATGATTTCAAAATAATGGGATTTCAATCCATCTCTTGTGTGTGTGTGACAAAAACTACTATTAAACAATACTATTTTTCCTATAGAGATTGTCAACCATATTTTATCAATTGATATGCTTTCAAACTAAAATATCATTTCTTAAAATAAAATATAAAATATAAATATATATATATATATATATATTAAAAAAATAATAATGTTAATTAAATCTTTTAATAATTAATAGTTAGACCGCTCGTATCAGAATTTTTATAGTTATTTAAAATACAACATCCTTTTCATATGTGATTAGAAATAAATTTGATAAATTTCAAACAATAATACTGATCAATAATAATTATTAATTACTATACATAATGTCACACTATGTACTGTACTTTGGTGAGCAACACTACATAATGAATTTTGAATCAAAGATGTTGAGAAAAAGCCCAAGGAAAATATTGATTAGTTTGACTATGTACTGTACTTTGACGAGCAACACTACATCATGAACTTTGAATCAAAGGTGTTGAGAAAAAGCCCAAGGAAAATATTGATTAGTTTGACCACTTATATAGCATGTTTGTGAAAAATCACCATGTGATCAAATATTGTGATTATGTTGAGATTTGGTGAATGTGATACACATATAAATAATATATTCAGCCATCTGTACAAATGAGATTAAACAAATAATGACCACACAAGATTAAAATTCGAGAAAAAATTATGGGCCAATGTGCAATTAATTATAAGTTATTTGACTAAAATTCTAATTTTTCTTGTGAAAAAATGCCAAAGAAAAAAAGCTCTAGAATATCAGCAAATTATATTGTTCTGTCAATTTTGTTATGGAGCCATCAGATTGCTCGACTTATGAGAGTCATTGACATTTATTTCCCAATAGAGTATTGACACGTGTCCTGCAACAAGTACAATTTTAACACGTGTCAATACATTAAGTGGTGTCCTACAATAAATACAATTTGGACAACATGTACCTATTGAATTGATACCATATGTACTCATAAGAAAAATTAAGTGTAAATTGTAATTTAAGTCCTGTATGTTTCACTACCCAACTTTTTTATCCTCTTCGAATTGCGTTTTTTATTTACATTATGTTTGCAAAAATATACAAAAAGGTCCTTCTCGCAACAGAAAAAAAAGGTCACTTATATTTTACAAAAAAATGTTCCAATTTCGTCTCTTATGTACGAAAATGACATTTTTCTAACCTTTTTGCAAACATACGAGACAAAAACCAAAAAATGCAATCCGTAGAGGACGAAAAGGTTAGAGTAGTAAATCATGCATGACTAAAATTGCAATTTACTCTTACTATTAATACAAAAAATAAAACAAGGAGAGATTTAACAAATTAAATCACCCAATTTTGTTATGCTACATCAAAAAAAAAAAAAAAAAATGATCAAATTTACAATAGTACATTAATGCACTATGATTCCAGGCCAACATAACTATTGTATGATCTTGCTCTTATCCTATCAGCTAGATTACATTCTTCCACAGCTTTCCTCTTATTACTATTATAATTAGCAACATTATTTGGCTGATTATCATCAAATTTTTTCCCCATTTTCCTCATCAAATGTGGCTTGAGTTTATTCACATCTGATAGTTGAACTGGTTTAAGAAAAAACTCCTCTGCTCCTTGCTCCAAACAGTTACTAATCCTCGACGGGACATTCTCGGACGACATTATTACAACCGGGATGTCTTTAAACGATCTCGATTCCTGAAAAAAAACCGGTCGAAATTACTAATTTGGTTGTTATGATAATGGAATATTAATTATTATTCAAGAACATTGTTTTTTACGAACGATGAAAATTTTTACCTTGATTTTTCGAAGAAGGTCGTAGCCGGTGATTCCAGGCATGCAGTAATCTGTGATGATCAAGTTTACATTCACTTCCTGCAGAATACATTTTACATAATCATATAAGAGAAGAAAAAAATAAAAAAAGAATGATCAAAATGGATTGATTAACTATAGAAATGTTGAGAGGCAATATTCATACTTAATTCGTAAAGCTACATTTAGCATTTGAAATATAAACCAATTACCATTTATTACATGTTGTAAAAATTTACGGACAAGTCATACTTTTTCGACAAATACGCGTTCTTTCAAATTGGAATATCATACTCTAAAAACAACATAAACAAAAATATGACATTTCACAACAAGAATTCGCATTTTTGTTGAAAAAGTATGAGGGGTACTCGACTCGCCTAATAATTAGGCCACATCATACAATAAATTATGTATTGCATACGTTATATATGCAAACTTTGAAAATTAAATGTCTAACTCTAAAGAAAAACATAAATAAAAGTATGACATTTCACCCGACAAGTATACGCATTTTTTGTTGAAAAAATTATATGAATTTTATAAATTTTATATTGCTTAACAAAGTCCATATCAATTTTATTTCATGTTTAAAAAGGAAAAATTGTAATTAATTAAGAAATTAAAAATTGTAAGAAAAAAAAAAAGAATTTAATTACATGGTGATCTTTGGTGGTTGAAACATGATTTGGATCTAAATTTGCATTATTATTTTCTTCATCAAGCAACCCTAAATACTCCAGGGCCTTGACTCCAGAATCAACTGCAGTAACTGCATGCAAACATACATATATAACATGCACACCAACAATAATATTAATCATTAATTAATCAAGAAATAACTAAATTAGTAATAATAATCAAGTGAGATTAGTTTTGTGTGGTCATAAATTAATTAAGTAATAATTAATGTACCTTGATAAGAAGAGGTCTTCAGAAGCTTCTCGATTAATTTCCGGTCGATTAGGCTATCGTCGACCGCTAGCACGTGAAATTGTGCCTCTGCAGCTGCTAATGATCCAGCCATTGCTTGCCAATATTGTGCATTGTATAATTGCACCACAATTAATGAAGAAGATGAGATATGATAAATTAATATATATATATATATATCAAGAATATTGAATTTGATTAATTTGATGATTTGAATTTTGAAGGAAACAAAATGAGGTACTGATTTACTTAGTTATATGTATATATTTATATATATCTCAAGAGATATCAATCATCAAGAATCTGCAGGATTTGAAAGTTGATTTTTGAATTGCAAATCAAGATTAAAGTAAAAATAGGCACTGCATTATTAATTTATTTAGCCTCTTATTGACAAAGTCAAGAACCTTTTTTTTTTTTTTTTAAATGAATTTTTTTAAGGTGGCATCTAACATGCGCGTAATTATGGGGTCAGGCCAATAATTAATTCATATTATTCGTGGATTATTTAATTATAGGAAGATGGTACTGTCCCTTGTGGAACAATTCGTTTACAACCGTTAGATCATCATATAATCGTCGATAGTTAATCTAACCGTTACAGATTCTGACGGAATGGTTCCGTAACATGACCATAACATTTCCATTAATTATATTTACAATTATATTAATGTTTAGATAGCTCTAACGGTTAATCATTTGTATTTTTTTTTTTTCGACAGATATACACGCTTTTAAGATGAAATATAAAATTCTAAAATATAAAATATATTAAAAAAAAAAAGTGACATTTTGAAGCATAAGAATAATTTTATGTTGAGAAAGTATATCGGGTAAACCGTCTAATAATTAGTCCGTGTCTAACAAAAACCGGGCTTGCATGCAACTATGTTTCTTGGAATTGGACATACATAAAAAAAATAAAAAATAATTAAATATATAAATAAATAAAGAAAAGAAAAGAAAAAATCCAACTTGACATTATTGGCATGAGCCGTGACTAAAATCTGTGGGATTTTATTCCAATATACCAAAGACAGGAAGCAAATAGGAAACAGATCAACACATGTGAGTCTCACGAGAGAGGCATATTTTCTTCGGTTTTGCTATGAAGCCAACAGTTGGCTCCATAGTGGAGCCAATTTTCTATATACAAACCTACTATGTTAATAAAATTATATTAATATTATTTAAGTAATCAAATAATATGGTAAGTTTATTTGTTGTATATAAAAGATTGGCTCCATTATGGAGCCAACCGTTAGCTTCACAGCAAAACCGTATTTCCTTTATATTATTTATATATAAATGTTTTGTTCCCGTGAAGTTTCAGATTATATCTGAAGAAATATTTTATTAATTAGGAGGTAGGTTAGGAGAATATTAAATTAATTGGGGGCATCACTTATCAGTCATGGTCACGTTCCATACAGATATTAAACAAGTTCAAAGAAAAAAATGTCATTAAAAAGCAAATGGATGAATCAACCATTCTTTTTTGTTCCCGATTTATAATAATAACAACAACAACAATAATAATAATAATAATAATAATAATAATAATTTTGGGAAAAAAAAGGCTTATGGTATTTCGATTCATGATCGGAACTTCAAAATCAAAACTCGGCTTTTCCAATTGGTCCGGGCAAAAATTTTGATTTTCGGTTCGATTTGGCCAGTTAACAGTAACTTTTCAAAGGTAACAGTGACTTTTTAATCTTTACCATATCTACTAGGAACTTTTCAATTCTTCAAATGTCATGCTTTGCTCTGATGTGTTGTTAGATTGAACTGTGTGGTGCCACCAGGAGTTCACTGTAGCATTATCATGGGAATCTGAGAGCTACTGACAAGAAATTGGAGAGTTTAGGTCCGCCACATCCATAGAGAGAAGAATTTTGCAGCAGACTATCTTGCGTCGATGGCCTCGACCATGCCAAGTGGGCTACACGTTCTTGACGACCCACCCATGGGGGTAAAACCGTGGTTATACCATGATATCCTAAGGGTTTCTTACCCTCGTAACATTGTCGCCTAAGGTTTTCGCCTCCTTCTTTGTACAAAAAAAAAAAGGATTGAACTGTGGCTGTGAGTCTATGACCATTATCATCCATTTTGAGTTACAG